TACCCCAGAGCCTTGCACTTGAGAAATACTTAATAAATGGTTGCTTGGGTTACAGAAAACTTGTTAATGTTATTAACTGATGTTTTTATTAAGGTCATACAGATAGAGGTGGTGGCACTATGGCTCAAACCCAAGTCTATCCAAAGCTCATGCCTTTTCTATTGTAGCACACTTCCTGTGTTTGAATACTGCCAGGAACCTGGCTGCCAGTAAGTTCTCTATTACTAGAAATATTTTCAATGGACATAAAATGATGATTTTGCAGGAATCATGGAAAACAATAGATGATTTTTAAGGTCCTTTGAATTCCTGAGATCTTATGATTCTCTGGATAATAGGCAGTGTCTAAATTGAAACATCATGTTTTAAGCATTTGTTTGTAAGTTAGTTGGGAACTTGAAATTTCATTTCCCAAGATATAAGTCTATACAGAATTTAAGGACCAGTGTAGAAGAAGGAAGAAGAAGAGGTGCTTTAATATTACATTTAAATCTTTCTACCTCCCTAAAGGCTCTACATAGTCTATTTTCTCTCAACTTCAGTGACTAATTAAATCTGGTCTCAGAGAGGTAGTAGGAGAAAACAATCTACCATACTAATCCAAGCTAATATAATTGAGAGCCTCTTATTCTTACCAAATAGTCATATATTCATTCATTCAGCAAATATTGAGTACAGATTTAGCCAAGGATGTGAGTTCAGGCAAGGGAGGAATACCAGGTTACTTGGGGCGGGGGGAATCATAAAGTCTGAGTGGAAACATCTGATGGTAATTAGAAAAAGGGAATTGGTGAAAGGCAGGTCTGGAGATAAGGATTGGGTGCCTGTACATAGAGATGACAGGATTACTTAGGTGAGTAAAAGAGAAGAATAAAGAATCTTGAGAGTGGATGATAAAGGCAGAAGCATTAATAAAGAAACAGAAATGGCCCGAGAGTTATTAGGAAAACCAAGAAAGTATAGTGTCTCAGAACCCAAAGATAGGAGAGTCAACATCATCAAATACTGCACAGAGAGCAGGTAGGATAAGACTATGAAAAGAATATTGGATTTGACAAGTGGTCACTGGAGACCTTTGGATATCAGATAAGAAAAGGTGTAGATGACCAAGCCAGATTCCAAAGGCTGAAGAAATAGTGATGGATTGTAAGTAGATAAATAGGATAGTAACTAACAGGGGTAGGAATACCAAGAAAATTTTTTTCCATATGGAAACTTATGATTGACACATACTAGTGTATGGTGGATATTGATAGAGAAGCAAATGCAGAGTGCATCAGAGGGAGAGTAAGCTGCCTCCTGTCAAGTTTCTTTATCTTTGGGTTTGTCTACATTGTTCTATTCTCTATACCAGTGCTGGAGTTATCTTCTTAAAACAAGATATCTGATTAAGTCAGTACCTTCTTAAAGACCTCTTTGGGTCCCTCATTCCAGAGGAAACCCAGTGTCATCCTTAGCATAGCAGACAAGGTGCTTGGCGCTCTGGTTCTAACCTCTCTCCTCCATTTCATCTCCTGCCACTCTGGACTCAGGAGATTTCAGATTGTTTTCAGGTCGAGTCTTTGTACACCTTGCTCTCTCTGCCTTGAAGATTCTACTACCCATCCTTCACATGGAAAATTCTAACTCCTCCTTCAACACCTGGCTCAGATGTCACTGCCTTTATGAAAGCTTCCTTACTCCCAGGCAGAGTTCAGGTCTCCCTCTTTGGTCCTTCAAGTGTTCATTAGTAAATTCATCACAGAATCTTGTATTGTAATGCACCTGTTTCGATAGCCGTGTTCTCCATTGGACTGTGAGATCTCTGAAAACAGGGACTATATCTTATTTATTGTTGTAATCTCCATGGCTGGCACAAAACTATTGATAAAAGCTTCAGGAATGAATGAGTAACAATATATAGAGAAATATATTGATATATATAGGATGGAAGTGAAGAAGCATATTAGTGCAAAAGATGAATAGTTTTCCACCCTCTTTTTGGCTATGACTCATATAATGCATACAGTATGTAAGACTATGCATTCTGAATGTATTCTGCTGCAGTGCTTGTTATATATTAGAAAAGTCTCAAGTTCAAAGAAATTAACTTGCATTAATTCATATAGCTTTTAAGGTCAGAGGTAAAATAAAGATAATAATCACCTTACAGTGTAATTGAGAAGATAAAATTGACAAAATATAAACTAAACAATTACATGCCTGACATTTAGCTATTACCAATATTACAATTATTTCCCCGTGGCCAGGAGCTCTGGCTTATTAGTTTCTCTGCAGTCTTGGATTTGGCTCCTTTGCAACTTTAATCCATTCTCTAAAGAGAAGCGTTTTTTGTTTGCTTGTTTGTCTTTTAAGCTAAATTTTGATGTTAGGATTTTTAAACTCCATCCTTGTTTAAATTTAAATAAGTCCATCCTTATACAGGTAGCATTTTAGCTACCTAAATAATGCTATCTGATTAACAACACTCATTCCTGGCATCAAGTAAATTCAACAAAAATTCTAGAATTAAATATATGTGTTGATTTAGTAAATTCACAGTTAAGTCTGAATTGTTCATGAGTCTCCAGATAACTTCCCAGCAGAGGCTCTAGCTTTGAGGCTTGCTAAGCGGGATCTAGGACACCCTTCTTGTTTAATCTTTAGGATTCTATTGCCCTGATTTAGATCAGCTCTTTCTTTTTAGCAGAATTTTTGTGGTTCATAAAAACATGCACTTATAGCTTTTTTGCATAGGTAAAGGAAAGGATTCCACATCAGATTTAGATCAAGAGAGAGCTTTTCAGAAGAAAATGATGAATGTGTCCTCGGGGAGCGGCGGAATGCAGCGATGTTCTGTCTCTGATTGAGTTTATGGCTTTTATGAACACTTTCTACGCCCACACCCACACAGATACACAAACAGTGGTCACAACTGCAGCTCCAGACGTGGCCTTTCCTTCCCCCGCCTCCTAGTCTCATTTCCAAAGCGCATCCATTGTTTTCCATAACATGAAATAAATCCCTTTCTTTTGCCCAGTGGTGAAAAGCTTATATAAATACTAAAACTTCAACTCTTCCCCTGAGTTTTCTGTTGGCGAGCTTGCAGCCCATGGCTTGTTTGGATATTGACATGCATTTTCTCTGCAGGTCTTTCAGGTCACTGGGGTGAGTCCAGTAACTCTCTTGTCTTGAAAACGTATTAGACTAACCATCATAACACTCCGTTTTTGAAAACCTAAATAAATGACATTGTGGTTGAAAAGACTCCGGGTTCAAAGTTTCTCTTTTATTCTTTCAATTCCTTCAGCATATATCCTTCTGGTAATATATATCTATATGTAGCTTAGAAAGTCTTGGCCAGGAGATGAGTTTAATAATCATTGAAAAGAAAATAGGAATGTGAAGAATTGATTAGAAACAAGACCTTTAACTTTGCGTCATGGTGTTTCCGTGAAAGATTTTTTTTCCCAAAATTTAGAAGGGAAATATTTTATTGTTTACTAAATAGGGATAGTTAACATTATTGGGCTGTAATTAAAATGTATAGTGAAAAGTCTTTATCTATCATATTGGAGAAAAAAGGGAAGACATTTTATTTAAAGACAAGTAACAAGGCCTGGTATATAGTAGGCACTTGCTAAACAGCTGTAGAATAAATGGATGAATGAATAAGGTTAATTACATTCCTAGTGGTAAAATGAAACATTTTATCAGATCCTTATATAAAAAATGTATATGATTTAACATCGTTATTCATATAATAGCTTATCTTTAGAGAGTACATTAATCCAAACCTCTTCTTTTTTTTCCTTTAATTTTTATCCATTTGCAATCTGAAAAGCATCCTCAAAGTATTAATACTGTTTTTTCACTTTTTATTTTTTGGAAAATGATGAAGAGGTGGGTTTTTCTAACATAATTTCCTTAGGCGTCTGCAGAGCTGAGACTGATGCTAGCTATGTACGAGAGAACTGAATAGAAATCCACGAACACTAAATATGTGTACTGTATTTCCACCAGTGCTTCCATATTAGTGAGGCATTTTAACTGCTAATCTGCCTTAAAAATATCTTTGGTTACCCAAGTGATTAGTTAACTAAAAAGCTTGCTCTTAACAATTCTAAAATTCTTCATACATTAGAAACTATTATTATTATCTTGGAGGATCCAAGATTTTGCTTAACAGATAAGAAATAGAAAATAGAAAATCTCGCTAATTAAATCTCCTTTCCTTAGGCTGAATAGAGAAAATAAAGAAAAACAAACTTTATATCACTAAAGCCCAATTTTAAATGACAGTAAAATAAATAAATAAACAAAAAACAAAGGTAAAGGACTTGGATGAATTAGAGTTTTGTTAGCTAAACCGAGGTATCAGTGTTTGCATGTCTAGAGTGTTCTGATTAGTAAATCACAGTGCAAATAAATAGTAGCTATGGTTATTTTTAGGCCAATAGTTATGGCTGCTAATTTTGATGTACTTTAAATATAATGGAGGTAAAACACCTAGCTTTGTTTTAAAGCAGCTATGTTAGTTTACTTCTTCTTTAATTTTGAGGAATAATTTAGTATATCAGTGTCTATCCTAACCTAATATACTGTACCTAAAACCTGAAACACACTTTGCACAATGGCTGGTACATCATGCTCAAAACTGCAATGATATTATTATTATATATTTGTAAAGTGCTCAATGCCACACTTGAAACTCTTATCATTTTCCACAGTTTCTCTTCTTCGGGAGACTCTCTGTAAAAGAATATACAAGGATAGAAGTAGAAGGAATTACTTCTCTAATGGTAGAATTTCAAGCAACCAGACCTAGTAGCTACTCTAGTGCTGCTCAAGTCATTTCATACAGAGAACATTCTATCAAAACTAGGAGTAAAGAAACGCTAAGAAACTTATTTTTGTCATTATCAGCTGCTTAGGAAGAGAGCCACATGAGGAAAGGTTGTGATGTATTCTTCTATAATGAAAAAATGAAAAAAAAAAGCATTCTTTTTTATCTTTCCTAGGTTTGCAGAAGAAATGACCAGCAAGTGGTTGAATCTCTTTGAAGGCAGTGGGATCCCTTATGGTCCAATCAATAGCATGAAGAATGTATTTGCAGAACCCCAGGTTTGTTTTTTGAGATTTTTGGTACACTGTGGTTAACAATATAAGAATTTGCCTCTCTTTTCTGTGCAGATTGATTTATATAAATGTACATTAGCCACTGATCTTAAGCTTAAGTCAAACAACACAGTTTGTAACTGCTATGTAAAAGTTGTTTATAGACTTGAAATAGAGAATCAGAATTTAGAACTGGCTGTCTATAATGTATCATCTTTCCTTATCAGCCACTACATGAAGTTTCAGAGGGCAGGGCATTTGTTTTTCTTAAAAAATAAAAGATAGACAATTGAAAGATTGGGGCCAGGTGTTCACAGGTCATTCTTTGTAAAAGAAATACGAGAAACTTCACAGTTATAGCCAACATCTGATCACATGGATGTGTTAAAATGTAGAAAACCATTCGCAGTTAATTTTGCACATGCAGAGGCTTTTGTATGCTTTGATTAATGTGCATCATTTGTGAAAAATAAATTATACCTGAATAGAGATTCATGCTATATATTGTTTAACAGATTCCTGCTTGGGGCCCAGGAAGAAGGGTTACCTGAAAAAATATTCCTTCTAGAATGTTGTTCAGATAATTATTTTTGGATGATGCCAAAATAATATTTTGATTTTATAACTTCAGTCAAGATCACTACAAGCAATTTACCATTTCTCAGTTTCACATATTAACCTTCTTAACCCCAAAAGGTAGAGGGACTTAATTTTTCTATGAGGCTTTCACTATGATTATTTGTGTATCTTGTCAGTTTCCAACATTTGAGAATTAGAGATTTTTTTTTGGGGGGGGGGGTTCATTTATATAGTTGGAGATTTTTCTTTGAAATGAATTATTGAAATGCCATTTACCTTTTTGAGGGAGGAGAACTTTGTTGAACACTGATCTCTGTTCTTTAACTTTGGTGCTTTTATCTTTCATGAAACCCGTTGCCATCAAGTCGATTTCGACTCACAGTGACCCTATAGAACAGAGTAGAACTGCTCCATAGGGTTTCCAAGGAGAGCCTGGTGGATTCGAACTGCTGACCTTTTGGTTAGCAGCCGTAGCTCTTAACCTCTACACCACCAGGGTTTCCATCTTCCTTGAATAGCTATTTAAAAGAGAACTGAAATATATTTAATTCAATGGTTACAATATTTGCTGGAGAAAAAACGAGAATCAATTCAGGAATTCTGCTTTGTGTTACTTTCTTCCAAGATGGCGAGTATGACAGAGCTTTGTCCATAACAAAGCAATAGTCAATAAGTCTTTGAGGTAAGGGGGCCCATTTGATGTGGACTGAGTCATTTCATCCAAGAGGGATGTCGAAACATCAGTGGATTGATGCCAGGTGATTCCTCGCGTTGAAGTGGCCGTGTATGTGTACTAAAGAGTGTAGACCACCTGGGCCAATTTTCTTACTTTATAACTTTGAATGAGGCCAAGTTTTGGTTTTAAGCTGTTCTGGGGGCATGGCTGGGTTACTGTTACTTCCCTGTCTTCAGATTTCTATGCTTAAACATGGTACTGAGGTGTGCAGGACTTCACGTTTAACTCAGTTTGAGGGCACATTTCTCTGGAGATTTTCTATCAGTCTTTCTGGTGGCCCCCCTGTGTTTCATCAGTGATAAAGGTACCAATGCAAACAACATTATTTTTAAAGTCATTTTCTAATGTTATGATCATATTATACTGTTATGATGAGCAAGGCTCCAAGGTCCCACAAAGGACCTTAAAACTCTTCACTTAATGGGCTATCTCAGAGTGAATATAGGATAATTAGAATTTTCATGCCCATTTTTTCCTTTTAGTTCAGTTTAATTACTTTAATCTTTGCATTTCATTTTCATCTCTTTTGGACCTGCCAAGAAATTTCTATTATTGGTCTATGGCATATTTTTAGTACTTAGCCCACTTTCCAAATGGAGAAGATTGATATTACCTAAGCCTGGATACTAGCTTTTCCTACTACCCTGAGTCTCTGCAAACTGTGCTCTTACCCACCAAAAAGGGAATTCTAATTGTTACAGTTCTAATATCAAAAATAATCATACCATGATGATTTTGACAATCATATCCTAATAGCATGAGTAGAGTTGTTCTCTTTTATACCTAATTTCATTCTTCCTTTGAAAGAGGAATTCTTCCATTGGAATTTATTGCCAAGATATATGTATAAAATTTATCTGGATTTCTAGGAAGACTAGAAACTGTGTGCTAGTCTTACATTTTAAAAATTGGTAAAGATGATCATGGTGATGGTTAGCGGGACTGTTACTCATTAAGAGGCAAGGACACCTTCCTTCCCCTATGCTTGGAGTTGTTTGGCCCTTTTAAAAAGAATTCCATAAAATTTTGAATTTTGAAAGGAGTGTAGAATATAGAAATAGCAGAGTTTTTTTTTAAATGTGTGTAAAATAGGTTATTAAAAAACACCTTAAGAAGAACATCTAACAAATGTCTGCTTAGAAAGTTTATGCATTTATTCAACAAAACTTTATTGTATTTACTATGGACAAGGTGCTAGGGATTTAGAGTACACTTAGTAAGTATTTGGCTTTCTGAAAAGGAAATTCAAAATCAGCTTACATAGCAGGTATGCAATAAATATTTGTTGATGAGTGAATCAGTGAATGAATGAATTGATTAACTATAGAAAGTATAGGCTTCCCGTATGATAAAGTAGTTCCTCTGCGCGCCTGACGGGGTCCGATAATCTCTGTGATTAAGGCTGGTGGGAAAGCCCTTGGTGATCTCAGGAGACTGTCCAGCATGGTGGTTAAGGCCATGGAGTGAGAATTCCTGGGCAGTTTATAAACCTTCTAGGTTTTGGTTTCCTTAAATTTAAAGTGGTGAAATAGGACCTTATCTTCTATACTGATGTAAGTGTTAAATGAGAGAATGAATATCAAGGGCAGCAAAGGGGCTGCCAGATGGTAAACACTCAGGACACGATGGTGGCTGTGGTTACGATGGTACCCTTTATGGTTATATTTTCATTAGCAAAGACCTTCTTTTACTTACCTTTGTTTGGCAGATAGAGGCAAAGTCTTGTTCGGAACCCTAATCCAGAGTAGCTTCAAGATGAGGCTCATGAAAATCAAGCTCTAACTAATATCCTTGTATGAAATGCATCTGCAAAATCGATGCCAAGAAGTCCTCAACCCTTCATTGTTTCTGATTACTGAAAGCCCTTTTATTTTTTATTTTATGTAAAAGTTTTTCATAAGCAACATTTCCGTTTAAGGTGTTCTCCTTGATTTCCCCCTGATGAGCTGCAGAGTTTCTTGGCCCCAGGATGGAACTAGCCACTTCTGTCCAGACGTGGGAACGCACCGCTGGCGCCCGTGGCCCGGCTCTCCATGTGCGCTGTGCCAGCACAGCTGCTAGCTCAACTCAGAATTGCTTTGGGTGAAGTACAAGGCCTGGAACATGGCGCAGGAAGTGGGACTTTGATGAAGTGAAAAGGGTATGTCTAACCAAAAAAAAAAAAGAGGATGAGAAGTATCAGAGAACAGGAGAGAACTTTCTGTGGGCCTACTTATCAAATGGACTACGTTTCATCTGTGGTTTGAACTTGGTAGATTAAAAAAAAGTTGCTTTGTGGTAGAAACGATTTCTAATCATAGTCTCTCATACACCGAGAAAACTTGATTTTTTGACTCAACCGAAACAACAGATAATTACTTTTTCTTGGATAGGTGGAAGGTTGTCTTTTATCATCTGATTATATGCCTTTGCACAGTTAAAATGATCCTACAGGCATCCATGTTAAGTCACTCAAGAATACTATGGGGGTTTTAGTCCACATTTGCTGATAGTTCTGCACAGTTTTGATCCAAAACTCTTGAAGTGGTAGTTTTGTTGTTTTTCTCCGTCCATGACATATTGTCTGTGGAAAACTCTGTGTATTATAGAGATATAACATAGATTATCTGCATGTAGATTTTAATAGTCACTCGTTTCTCCAAGTGCTTTCTTAAAATATGTTCTTTTAATCAGGTCACGATTGAGCAGTACATTAAAGGAATTCTTAAAAAGTTTCAAAAACTTATTAGATGACCTCAGTATGGTCCTATTTAATGTACCCTTGGGAACATGAGGATGAAATACATTGTGGTTTGAGCTTTTCCAACCCAAACAAACTTGAAAGAAAATGCAGCTTTTAATAGAAACTATTCAAATTCCTACAAAAATAGGTATGGATCTCACCACAGACAGGGTTTTAAAATATTATGTACGAGGAAAATCAAAAGACAGTTATTATCCTGCTTTTAGTATTTCACTTAAGATTGTATATTTGGAGATTCTAATCCATCAACATCTTTGAATGAGCTGTTCAATTAAAAAATATATATATATAAAAGAATAGCCAGGACTTCTAATTAATATTTTTATTTGTCCTTGATGCCATGATCTGAGAGTAGAGAATAGAGGGCAAAGGGTGTCACAAAACTGGTGTTATCTAACAGAATCCTCATATTTGTACCACACAAGTTGAATACATCAGGTGTAAGACATCACCCTGAAGCATCACTTCTGAGAACTATTGGGAGGGAAGTATCAGAACTGAAATGTCGCAGCTGGCCCTGATTTCAACTGGTGCCAAACACCTGCAAGCTCTAAAGGATACCAAAACAAAACCCCACCCGGTGGCAGCACGCCATCCCTTAACAGCCCTTCCTTAACTTTGCATCACCATCAAAATTAATTTAACATTTTCTACAGAAACCTTATTCTTCCTGTCCCAGAAGGCCATTACAACTCCTTTAGCAAATCTTTCGTATGGGATAAATATGTCATAGAAACAAACAGAGTGAAGTACTGAAGTATTTGATGGCTGGAAATTATCTGTTGTTTTCATCTCATTATTTGTGGAAGCCTGTGAAGTTGGAGGTTTTATTAATCTCTAGGCTATCTCATAGTTTCTAAGTGATTTTGTATTAGCACATTCTGGCAAAATATCTGAGCATCTGGAAAAAAAACTTGAATATTCATATAGCAATTGTCAGAAGCACCC